TATTCCTTTTTGTCTGGATGGGCTTTTGAAGGTACAGTAAGAGGAGAAAAACTTCCATCTGTGGACAGTAGCCTCAGACTACACAGTGACCCAGTCTGCCCATATTTTGTACTTGCTTAGCCAATGCTCCCAAATGCACCCAGGATCTTTCTGCAGGTAGCTTTTTCAGACTGTTAACCATATGCATGGCAAGGGAAGGCTGGAGACATTTTTGTGGATTGAAAGATATCAGTGAAACACGACAATGGAATGTAACAGAATGTTCTAAGTAGGATCCTAGTTGAGATAGAGTTGTGATAATTGGAGGAATTCAACAGTGTGTATGAATTTAAGGGCAGTGCTGTGCTGATGTGGGTTTTCAGAGGGCAGAGTCATATGGTTGTAGTGCAAGAGAGTTTCTCCTGAGAGTTTGACTGGAGGCTTCAAAATAACACACACACACACACACACACACACACACACACACACACGGTCAGGGGCATACAGTTGAAGAATTGGGATGAAAAGGTTATTTGTCTTACTCTTCTTTAGGTATAAAACGGTTTCAAAATGATAATTTAGACAGAGTTACATTTAGAAATTGAGAATGTAAGCCAAGATGTCAGAGAAGATAACAGCAGCAAAGCATAGGTGTCCATGGCACTCAGTACAGAACCACTAAAAAGTATGGCCATTGAGTATTTCAAACATGGCTAGTCAATGCTAGAGAAGCTGTGTTAGTCTATACTCTTTTGTAGTGTAGACTAAATACCTAAAAACAAAACAACAAATCAAAACAAAACAAGTAAAAATCAAAACATAACAACAACAAAAACAATTTAAAAGGAAGGTGTGTTTGTTTTGGCTTATGGCTTCAAGGTTATAGCTGTAGCTATTCTTTTTTGCTGTTTTGGGGCCTGTGTGGAGGCAGGACATCATGGTAGGCAGCAAATGGAGAGCAAAACTGTTTACTCAATGTCAGGGAGGAAGCTGGGGTCTCGGGAAGCAGAGACAAGGTACACCCTTCAAGGACATGTCCCCATGACCTAGTTTCTACAACTAGACCCTATTTTATAGTTTTCAGAACTTGCTTACAGACCATCAAGATATGAAGTCAGGGGTATTTAAGCACATTGACGAGGCCAGAGCCCCATGATCCAGTTAATACCCAAAGGCTCCATCTCTGAACATTGCTTATTGGGATTGAGCCTTCACATGAACTTGCAGAGAGACATTTCAGGTCCCAAACACAACTATAAGTGAAATATACACTTAATTTTCAAACAATGAACAAGATGCAAACTATCTGACTAAGTTTTGTGTTGATTATATGGTGAAATGATAGTATTTAGGGTTAAATCAAAGCATGATTAAAATGAACTTGTTGTGTTCTATTCTTTTAATTTGGCTACTTAAAAACTTAAAACTATACACATGATATATGTTGTGTTTTTATTGGATAGTTCTGACCTAGAGTGTATAAAGTACGGTTACAAGGTTATGAGAAAAATAAGTTCATTTAATAAAAAACTGAGGAAGCCTAGAGTGTTAACTTCACAAAAAGAACATTCAAATATTTAGCATGTGTATCAAAGGTGCCTGTCTGAGAACTGACAAAGGCCATACACTTTGAAGCTTAAATGAGGTAGATACTGGGTGACTAAAAGTCTAAGTATGATAGGAACATGAAACAGTGGAAACTGTAGATTGAAGGAACTTCTGTTGGATGTGGTGGTTTTAATGAGATGCCCACACACCATAAGTCTTGAATAGTTGCTTCACAGTTGATAGGTGTTTGGGGGAGAAGATGTGGCCCTACTAGAGAAAGTATGTCATTGGGAGAGGGCTTTGAGGTTTCAAATGTTCAAGGCTTCTTGTATGTAGTTTGAGATGTTAGCTCTCAATTGTGCTTCAGTAGCCTGCCCCACTATAATAGACCCTAATCTTCTGGAACCATACAACCCCAAATAAACTGTTCCTTCTATGAATTGCCTTAGTCATGGTGTTTTGTCACTGTAACAGAAAAGTAGGCAACACAGTGGAAATGTAAATCAGTAATTGCATTCACTCTGGTCAAATGTAGTGACCTTTACAACATTGAACATAGACAGCTCTATGTCCCCTCAAGTATCCCTCTCTGGCATTTACTTGGCAGTAATGTGCACAATGGTGTGCTAAAAGGTGTGTGCCAAACAGACAGAGGCCAATACAAGAAAACTACAGCCAGTCAAATGCAGAGTTGTGGATCACAGTCCCATTGGACACATCTACAAAACACTTTTTCACCTAAGGCTCAAGGAACATTGTAGAAGAGGGAGCAGAAAGAATTGAGAGCTCTTACAGACATGCAAGAGCTAGAAGAGAGGGGGATTTGCTGTGAGACTTTCTCTCCTAGTAGCGTCAGAAGCTACACTCATAAAGTCTAAGCGTGACTGCCCAGATGTGAGCTGAACAAGGACAACACAGTACACATGCCTAAGTGGATAGGGAAAGGTTGGGAGTCCCCAACCCTACACAAAGGACTGCAGGCCACAAAGGAATGGTGAGGGTGGGAGAAGTGGTCCTTTTCTATCCAGTACCAAATGGTCAGCCCCAAAAACATACATACAAGCAACATTATATAGACTGACCATGTTATATTTGAGGAAACACACACACACACACACACACACACACACACACACACACACACACA